GGAGTTATCACTTTGTAAGGGGTGTAAATGTCTAACTATTACATTGTTTTGTACACTTGAAACTAAAAATAAATAATAATAAATAAATGGGTGAATGGTGAGATATGTGAATTATATCTTAATAAAATTGTTACCAAAAAACAAAAGTTCAGGGGATCCTGTACTCATCTGAAGGCTTGATTGGGGCTTAGGGATCTGTTTCCCAGTGGCTAGCTCACTCATATGGCTGTTGACAGGAGGCCTCTCTTCCTCACCATGTGGGCCTTTTTACAGGGCTGCTTGAGTGTCCTCATGACATGTCAACTGGCTTCCCTAGAGTGAGTGATCAGAGAGAGAGCAAGAAAGAAGGCACAATGCTTTATATGACTTAGTCTCAGAAGTTATGTCACTTCTGCCACATTTGATTTGTTAGAAGCAAGTGTCTAAGTGCAGCTCACACTGAAGAGGAATAGCCTCCACCATTTGAAATGAGTATCAAATAATTTGTACACCAGTGCTTCTAATTTCAGTTTTTAACCACCAGAGCTTTAAACCACCAGAGCTTCTAATCTCAATTAGAAAGAATGGGTTCTGTAGTCTCTGACTCTCATCCTCACTCTCTCTTTCTTCTATTCCTGGTTTTAATAAGGCATTGAATTGAATCTAATATGTTTCTATCTACTAAGATGTCTAGTTTTAGAACAGTTTGGTCTCCTTGTTTGTTCCCTCACACCTGGGGCTGTGCTTTGTTTATGCCAGTGTGATAGGGGCTCAACTCCTATCTGGAAATCTTATGGGGTTGGTCCTGTGCCCACAGATTCCTAGTCCTTAGCCCTGGCATCTCCTGGAAAAAGACTGCCTTCTAGGCTTTTGCCCCAGATGCCAGACCCCATCTCCCCAATTGGGTTTTCCCTTCTGGTCTGCAGGGGATGCGGCCCCAGCCAAATGGGTGGGTAAGTTCCCAGGTGTGGCAGCCATCAGTATCTGCAGCAGCACCGGAGCAGGTGTCATTGTCTTCCTGGGCAGACGCCAACCAATGACTGGGCTCAGCCCCGGGCACTCGGGCCTGACCTTTTCTGCCCACTGGGGCTTTTCTATGGGCAATGTTTGCACCAGCTCTCTCTGTTGGCTGGCTGAGACTTTCTCAGAGTGACACTGCATTGTGAGCCTCTTACCCAGCTCTCCTTTCCTTCTCCTCTCACCCCACAGATGTCAGACCTGCAGCATAGTCTGAAGGCTTTCCCCACCCACTCCGGTTCCCTCCCTCGTTATCTTTCACAGGCACTTCCTCCAACAAATCTCTTGCACTTCTAAGTCAGTCTTGGTGGAGGCTTCCTAGAGGACCCAGCTGATACCCAGGCCCTGGCTCCTCTGGGCTGTCAGACTCCTTACTCCCAGGGGATGAGTTTTCCCTCCATCCCCCATCTTGGGCATGCTCTGTCCCCTATCCCCTCTTTTCTCAGTCTAGGACCTTGTCCTGTGCCTGGCACATAATAGACACTCAGTAACTATTTGGTTTTGAATGAATGCAGAATGTTCTGGAGCTAGGCACTGCCCCTATTGTTCTCCTAGTACAGAGAGCCCTTCAAGTGGGGCTGGGAGTACCAGTTCCAAGGGGTATAGAGAGGGCACCCTCCAGGCCATGGGAAGGAAGGCCCTGTGGGGAAGCTGAGAGTTTCCCGGGGCCAGGGGAGGCCCTCCCTACACACCAGAGCAAGTCTGATCTGGTTTCTCTCTTTATCTGCTCTGTGACCCCTGGCAAGTCACTTCTCTTCTAGGGCCTCAATCCATCTATCTGGACAATTGGATGAGGAGCCTTGCCCTGCCTCTCCCCCCAGGGAGGGGCTGGGGTTGTGAGCAACAGATGAGGTCCCGGCTGTGAAAATGTGAACAGGAAAGAGCTAGGCATGCCAGGTCCTGGGTCTGGGGCCAGGGTGTGGAGGGGGAGAGCAGACAGAGAAGGAAGAAAGAGAGAAGAATTGTACACACACACACAGACACACACACACAGACACACACACACACACACACACACACACACACACACACCCTAGAGAAAAACATAAGAGATAAAGGGGGGAGAGAGAGAGAGAGAGAAAGAGAGAAAGAGAGAGAGAGAGAGAGAGAGAGAGAGAGAGAGAGGGAGAGAGGAGAGGAGAGAAGATGAGGGAGGGAGGAAGAAAAATTAAGAGAGAAATGGGGAAAAAAAGAATAGGGAGAGAACATAGTGAGATACTCATAGAGANAGAGAGAGAGAGAGAGAGAGAAGAGAGAGAGAGAGAGAGAGAGAGGAAGGGGAACCAGAAGACACAAAGAAACAGAAAGAGAGAAAACAGAGAGAGGAGAGAAGATGAGGGAGGGAGGAAGAAAAATTAAGAGAGAAATGGGGAAAAAAAGAATAGGGAGAGAACATAGTGAGATACTCATAGAGATAGAAGGACAGGAAAAGTGAAAGGTAGGGAGATAGACAGGGAATGAAACAGAGGAAGGGGTGGTAAAAAGAAATTATAAAGAGAAGAGTGAAAGAGAAAGATAAGAAAGAAATGGAGAAATAAAATAAGATGGTGAGTGAGAGTCAGAGAGAGAAAGATGGAGAGAGGAAGGGATGGGGGAGATAGAAAGAAGTTATGAAAATCAGAGTCAGAGAGGGAAAGAGACCTAGAGACAGAGAGGGGTGAGAAAGAAGCCAAAAGGTGACGAAGAGTGATGGGGACTGATGGAGGGAGACAGGGATAAACAATCAGACAGGGAGGGAGGGGGATAAGCCTTCTCCCACAGACCCCCTCACTCCCTACTGGCATCCACTGTGCATTCTGCCCCACCCCAGATAGGGGTGCCTAGAGTAAAGCCTTTCTCCCACTTGTCTGCAGGACCCAGACTGTCCTGTCCTGTCTTGCTGATTTGGCTCCTGTCATCCTCGGCTCTAAGGCCTCTGAGGGGCACCCTGGTGGAAGGCAGGGCTCCAGAGCCTGTCTTGTAGGTTGACTGACGTGGCCACTGGGTGGAATCTGAAGGGAAAACTCAGTGACACCGTCCCTCGAGGCCTGGGCAGGCCCCAGCCTGCCTCCCTTTCGAGCCCAGACAGGAAGACACCTCAAGGTCAACTCCACTGTACCCCTCATTGAACAGAGGAGGAAACTGAGGCCCAAAGAGGGGCAGGGACAAGCCCCAAATCACATAGCCAAACAGTGGCCTCGCAATTGTGGAGACTGTGGCCTGAAAACTTTGGGATTTGCTTTCTCCTGGGTAAACTGCTTTCTGACAGGGGGTGTCCTGAGACTTTAATGATGTGTTTTGGATAACAGTTACTGTGCTGAGAGTCTTCCCCAATATCCTGTGAAATGATTATTGTGATTATGCCCATCACACAGATGAGGAAACTGAGGCTCAGAGAAGTTAAGACTTCCAAGCCTAAGATCACACCGTGATAAGACCCAAAATAGGTCTGTCTGACCTTGAAAGTTGGGTTCCTGCCATGGCACCCTCCAGCCTATCTGGGTGATAGGCAGGAAAGGGCTCTATAATTTAGAAGAGGGAGGCAGGGTGGCAGTTTCTATAACTTGGAAAAGGGTACCAGAATGATGGCTTCTAAACACTGAAATTCTTCGCAGAGGGACCCACCTTTGTTCAGTTATGTCCTTGCCTTTGGGAACCCCAGGTCTCCCTACCCTTCCTAATACCACTTGCTGCACTCCACACCCTCTCACCCAACCTCTGGAGAGAGGGAACTTGGCTCCTGGACTACCCCCACGCTTCCCCCCTTCTCTTCATTGTTCTTAGCTGTGACCTTTTGGGCTATCGGCCCAGGTTGGTCCTGAAACCACAGGGATGGGCCTGCACACCCTGCAGCTCCCTTCTCCTTCCTCTATGTGGTAAACTTCCCTTCTCTAGTTCTGCTCCTGGCTCTTCCTCACTGGGGCTCATTCTCCTGGGAGAGACTTGAACAGAGATTGTAGGGGATGTTGGTGTCAGTGTCCCAGCCGACCCTGATCTTCCAACAAAGCCCCTCAAGAGCTGCACTCCCAGCCTCTAACCCCTCCCCGACTGGGGCCTGACTGCCACCGGAGGTTGCCATATCCTCACTGAGCCTCAGTTTCTTTATCTGTACTATGGGTGGAAGCACCCCGGCTTCCCAGGATGGTTGGATGCTGAATGATACATTCATTGGCTTTGGGACTGAGGCACATGTACAGGGTATAGCCCCTTCCTAATGGATAGACCCTGTCTCTTGGGGGACACGATGCCTGCTGTGTCCCCCAGGCGGCTATAATCTAGGGATGGAAGTAGCTGCAGATCTAGCCTCCTAGGCCACCATTTGCTCCTCTGGGGACCATAGTCCCTTCAAGCCCAGAGCATAAGTTCTGTTCCATGTTGTTCTCAAGGCCTTCTCTGGTTGTGTCTCCACCCACCATTTATCAGACCAGGAGGGTGGCTGCTAAGCTAGGCCTGTGCTTGGAGTCCCAGGAAGTGGGGAGCTCTGAGGCATTATCCCCTGGGTATGCCAAGAGCCTTTCTAAGAGCCAGGACTTGCGGGGAGCATCAGAGGTGGCCAAGGGATAACTGCCCCCTTTCCCAGAAACCCTCCCTTTCCCATAAGCTCCTAGGGGGGATGGCCACAGAGCCCCAGCCCTGCCCTCACCATCTTCACTCAATCCTGGCAGAGGCCCAGGGCCCCCTGCCAGTTTCGTGGAGGGGGATGTGCTGCCACCACTGGGGTGGAGGGATGAGCGCAAGTTCTAGAAGCCTCTCGAAGCCTCTGAACCCTCTTCCTTTCCCAGGAAGGAAGATACAGACTCGCCCCCCCCACCCCCCCACAGGGCCCAGGGCTTTGGCTCTCACAGTCCCCATCCAAGTGAGGCTGCCAGCAGGTGACTGGACATCATGATGAGAAAAACAGGGTGAGTGGGGGCGTGGGCCCCACAAGTGCACTCCTCAGCCAATCAGCGGCCTGACCAGCCGGTGGATTCAATTACAAGCTTGAGATCACCCCATACTCCAGCCTCCTTCCTACTCCTCCCAAAGCTCCACTCATTGGCCCCTCTGCACTGGGTCTGCTGGGCACTGTTTCTGCTCAACTTCTGAGCTGCTGCCTCGTGGGGTAGGTGTCCCCAAGGCTTTGTCTGACTGGGCTGTGCCAGGGAGGAATGAGGGTTCTGGGGGTGCTGAGCTTCCTGGGGGTGGCTCTGGGGGGGTTTCCTGCCCTCCGCTGGGACAGCACCTCCTGCCACTTAGCCAGTCCTGTCTCTGGCAGCCCCCTGGAGTCCCTGAGCTTCCTGGGCAAGGATGCCCAGGGACTGGCCCTGTTCCATGCTCACTGGGATGGGCACGGGAGGCTGCAGGCATGTAGTCAGCAGGATGAGCCAGAGCTCACTGCAGCCTTCAGTGCCCTCTGTGCCGGTGAGATCACCCAGGGCTCCTTCATCCATACCCCTGGACCTCAGCTGCAGAGAGCCCTGCTCACCCTTCAGAGTCAGTGGGAGGCCTGCCGAGGGCCTGATGAGAGCCCAGCAGGGGCAAGGGGGAAGCGTGCAGCAGGGCAGAGTGGAGCACCTGGTGTAGGGCACACGCGGAGAAAGAGAGGCTGGACCATGCCTGGCACGCTGTGGTGTGGAGTCGGGGACTCTGCCAGGAACTCCTCGGAGCTAGGTGAGCCATTCGGGTATGGACTGGGCGAGTGCTGATTTTCACCCTGGCCTCCACTTTCCCAGGCTGTGTGTCCTTGGGAGGTGACTTACCCACTCTGAATCTCAATGTTCTTATCTGTAATATGTGGGTTACCCTAAGTCTCATCATGGGATGTTTAAATACGGTCATAGATGGCAAAGGTCCTACCCACACCTGGAAGTCCTCGTTAATCATCATCCAAGGGAGCGGGGAGGCTGGGGTGGATCCAGGGTCGGCTGAGCCAAAAAGCTATTACCCAAGTGGAGGCTTTATGGGCATAGAGTGCCCATGGAATAGATGCCAAGACCTAAAGGCCTGAGTTCAAATATCCAGTTTAGCATATCCAACCTCTCTGAACCTGTTTACCAGGACAATGAAAATGACACCTCCCTTGCTGCTGTGAGCTTGGGTGTGGGAAATGCCAGTCACTTGGAAAATGCTCAGTAAAAGGCTGTATTGCTCAGATGGTGAAAAACATGGATGGCTTTTTTGCACTCTCAGCACAGCAGTCTGTGCATATGCGTGGAGGGTTGGGGGAGGATTTGGCACCTGAGTTGGAGCAGGTTGACATTCTGACAATGCCTCATCATGTCAGAGAGAAATGTTGCACCCTGCCTGTTTGCCATTCCATTCCATCCACATTTATGACCTCAGAGTTATATTTGTGTGAGAGTTTGGGTCTGCCTCCAGAGCTCCTCTCAGAAAGTCGTTTCTATGGTCAAGGGCTCCTGAGCAGGCTGCCCAGCACTTGAAGTTGCCCAACAGAGTCTGCGCCTGGGTGCTCTCTCTAAGCTTTGAAATTATGAGAGTCCCACAGAGGGAGAGTGACTGGCCTGAGACCACCCGGGGCATTTGTGTGAGGACTGGGGTGAGAACCAGGTCTCTGCTCCTAATATCAGGAAGGCATCATTGGTGTGTGGTGCCCAGGCCCCTGCTGAGCTGGTGTCTGCTCTGCTCCCTACAGGGGTCTTCCAGGGTCCTGATCTCTGCTGCCGGGAACACGACCTCTGCCCACAGAGCATCTCACCTTTCCAGTACAACTATGGCATCCGAAACTACCGATTCCATACCATTTCCCACTGTGACTGTGATGCCAGGTTGGCAGTGGGCATGGGGTTTGCAGGTGCAGGGGTATGGTTGGGGTTACCCGTTGCTTGGTGCAGAGACTGAGATTCTAGAAAATCCTAAAGAATCAGCCAGCTTGGAGCCCACTGTGCAGGTGGAAAAGCTGAGGCCTGAGAGGAAAAGGGATGTTTAGACTCCAAACCACCTGGCTGGTAGTTACTGGGTGGGCTCGAGGAGGAGCCAGGTGGCCCTGTGTGGTCCAGGGACCTGAGTGCCGGGTCTGGGGCAGGTTCCAGCAATGCCTGCAGAACCAGCGGGACTCCATCTCCAACATCGTGGGTGTGGTTTTCTTCAACGTGTTGGAGATCCCCTGCTTCGTGTTGGAGGAACAAGAGGCGTGTGTGTCGTGGTACTGGTGGGGCGGGTATGTAACTGCCCCCTTCAACCCTTTTCCCAGCCAGAGGGGGAGCCCAGGCTCCAAGCCTAGAGAGGGAGACTTATCTGTATGCCTGTCCTCCAGGGAATAAAACCCCATCCTTCCTGTCTTCTCCTCTCCTTTGGGGCTCCCAGGATGCAGAACCTCCCTAGATGCCCCACAACCCAGTGGGATGAAGGATAGGACTGACAGAGCCTTGGTTGCCATGGAGATGAGCTCAGGGGAGGGGGGCTTCTGGGTGGAGGGAGTTTGGGTTACCAGTTGCCACCAATTGCCACCTCCCAGGTGTAGAACGTATGGCTCCATACCCCTCGCCCGCCTCCAGCCTAAGACCCTCTACAATGCCTCCTGGAGCTCCCTGGTCATCCCCCTGACACCAAGCCCCAGGAACCCAGCCTCCAGCAAGCTGAGACAGAAACAGCACCCCCAGAAGTGGCTATCACAGATGAAAGGGTCCCAGCACCCCAGCAAAGCCAATGCCACAGCCCTCCAGGTCCCCGTGGCCTTTCCCAGGACTGATATGGTCCCCACAGCCCAGCTAGAGGTCACCCATCCAGGCCTCCAGGGATCACAAGGTGACCTAAAACCTCAAGGTGAGCTCAGAACCTAACCTTGGGGGTTCCTGACGTGAGGAGATTTCCCTGTCTCTCTGCATGTGGTGGGTAGGGGCCCTGTGTTGCTTCCTTTCTGACTTCAAACTCCTCCCAGGGTCTTCTACCTTCTTCCATCAGATCATGCTGCAGCCAGAGGGATTTTTGTAAGCCCCAAACTTGACCATGTCACTCCCCTCAGAATCCCCACCATGGCTCCTCTTACCTAGGCTGACGATGTCCCAATACCCAGGGGCCCTCAGGCACTGGTCCCACAAACTCTACTCCCCAGTTGAAACTCCAGTTTCATAAAATTCATTGGTTCTTCAAAAGCACCTTGCTCTCTCCCACCTCTGGGCCTTTGCACATGCTGTTCCTTCTGCTTGGAGCACTCTCCCCTCCTCTTTCGCTCTCCCAGCCCCAGCTTAGCAGCCTCTGCCTCCAGGAAGCCTTTCCTGGCCACCTTCAGCACTCTGGACCTCCACAACTGTAGCACTGATGTGTGTGTGGGTGTGTGTCCCATGTGTGTGGCACTCTGAGGGAACAAAAGCATGATGAGATGGAAGAGTCTGTGTGTGTGTGTGACCAAGCACATGTGCTGCTGTTTCTTCTCGATAGCAGTGGGCATCAGTGGGGCCTCTCTGGGGAACTGGGCTCCCCTCACCACCATACCCGCCCCCAGGAGCCCACCAGGCCTGTCACAGCTTCCGCCACCTGGACCAGTGTGAGCACAAGATTGGGCCCCAGGAGACCAAATTCCAGCTGCTCAATAGTGCCCAAGAGCCCCTCTTCCACTGCAACTGCACACGCCGGTGAGGCCTGCTTGGACCCTTGGGGGTGGGCTGCCTACTGCCAGGCACTGAAAAGGGGCACCTGGCTGGTGAGGCTCTGCCCTAGCCTAAGCCTGCCTCTGCCCTAGCCTAAGCCTGCCTCTGCCATCAGACTGGCACACTTCCTGAGGCTCCACAGCCCACCTGTGGGCACCAACATGCTTTGGGAACTGCTGGGCATGACCTGCTTCAAGCTGACCCCTTCATTGGACTGTGCTGAGCCCCCAGGGTAAGTGATGGCAAAGCCAGGAGGATTTGAGGATTTTTCTCAATGGGTGGGCTATATATGCCCCCCTCCTTTGTGTGCCTGGGCAGAGCAGATCCAGGCAGGGATCAGGGACCTCTGAGCTCCATTGTCATCTCCCTACCCACTGGTGCCCTGGGTTCAGCTCTGCAGTTGGCCCATGTGAGTTGCATCTTGATTCTGTCATTTACATCCTATGTGACCTTGCAAGTTGAGTCACCTCTCTGTGCCTCTATTTCCTTACCTGTAAAATGGTTGTAGAAGCCAAGGAAATGGCATGTGTAACATACACAGCTCAAAGCCTGTGGTCATGTAGTAAAATGCTTTCTTAACTCACAATCTCATTTCAGTTTTGATTCTCAAAGCCAGCCCCTTGTTACTTTTCCTATTTCACAGGTGAGGAAACAGGCCCAGACTGGCCCAATTGTCTATAGGCAGCCAGCCAGTGGCAGAACCCGGGCCTCCAGGAGTCAGCCCAGGTTTATTCTGTCTCCTTCTAGGTGCAACCAGCCTTCCCTGACCCCAGCCCTGCTCCTCCCTGGGTCTCCATCCCCCTGTCTGCAGAGGAGAGTGGCATCCTTGGCAGCCATGACCACCTGCTCCACTTTTCTCTCCTCACAGCTGTTCCAGGGGCCCTAGGGCCATCAAGGTGTCAGCTAAGCACTTGCGGCGACTTCAGCAGAGGAGACTCCAGCTCTGGGGTACAGGCACAAATGAGGAGAAGGCATGGCCTTCCGAGCACCCAAGGGCCCCCATGTCATTTTATGACTGGTGCCTGCAGTTGACCCAGGCAGCCCAAGGACCCAAAGAGCAGCAGAAATCTTGGCACCAGTGACCTCAGTTCCAGCTTTTCTGGCCACCAGACGGCACCTTGCCCCTGGCTTTTCTAGGCCCTGGGGGTCTTGATCTCTTCTTGTGTTAGACTGAAGCATGTCACAGGCTTTTGTGGACAGCCAGGAGGCTGGATTGGGGAGAGGAGGACCAAGGCCCAATGTTAGCCCATGTCTCCTGCTGTGCTGGGTGATCTTGGGCTGATGACACACCCCTCTGTGCTTAAATGCAGTGGTCAGGAGGCTCATTCTAACGCCCTGGGCTTGGACCTTGTCGGGGAACTTCACTCCAGATGGTAACTGGGAGGGGGTAACTGATTGCAGCAGCCCTAGGAGGTGCCAGGAGGAAGTGCACGTAAGTCCATGTTGCAAACTGAATACATGTCTAAATGTCCTGCCCAAGGGAGCCCAAACACCTGTTTGCTAAGGCCTGGGGCAGCAGGTAGGGAATGAGTGATGCCACAGAAGTGCCTGTGTCTGAATCCAGGACAGGGGTTGGGGGGGCAATAGAGAAAGACTTCCCAACACTCTTCCTCCCCAGGAGATCCCTTCTTAACAGCTGCTGTGACCTTCCTGGCCCAGCCCTGGCCTACTCTTTCTGCCCTAAGCCTAATTGCACATCTCCCCTGTGCCCCTGAGCAAGAGACATCACTCCCCAACTCTGAGCCTTTGTTTCTTCCTTAAAAAAGGGGAGTTTAGGACCGGCCGAGTGGCACGTTGGTTAAGAGCTGGCTTGGGACGCCAGAGGGCCCCAGTTTGGATCCCACATATGAGGGCCAGTGACACTGCCCTCCACAGCTAAGATGCTGAACAACAGCTCAACCTGGAGCTGGGCTGCT